CTTGACTTTAGTTTTACTAAACGCGTTCTAGGAAAGATGAGCTAATTCGAAAGCAGCTAGTACTATATTTTATATCTGTGACCAATAAAACTTGGGCGGCACGGTACAATTTTTTGTTATATTAATGTAGCTGTTTTAAATGAGTCCTATTATTAAAATAACGATTGTTTACTTCGTTTTTTAGCTTTTGGTAGATTCTAATCGTCTGCCCGAGGCCGCCTTTTTTGCTCGCACCTATCTGCCGAGTCGAGTACCAGGAATAGTCGAGAAATGGCGTGCATTTCTAGCTAAAACTAACCCCAAGTTTGCAGAATCATTGGCAAATCCAAATGAATACCCGAATCTTTTTCCAGATTATGAGGTAAGGTTGCCTTCGAAATCGTAATCTTTTTTATCATCGATAAAAATAGTAATTAGGTGTCGATGCTTCTCCTAAGACTTTCATTTTGCATCAAAGTAATAAGGAGATTCGAAATTCAATCTCACCAGAAGACGTTGTACCGCAGCCATTTAGCCTTAATACGAACTCAAGGCTGACACAGTCCACGAGACATTCTCTCTCGTTATGGGTGAAAAAAAGATCAACTTTTGTTCATCATGTGATGGACATCATCAGAGCTGGAATTCATTCTTGTAAAAATTTGACTTTAACACTAGATTAAGGAGACTGTTCGAATCTATCTTCTTATATATACTCAACTAAAAATCGTAAATTTTAGGCGTAAACTAACTTAGAGTAGATAGATTAAGTAACATTGCCTATTCGATGTATGAGACTAGCCGATAGTAATCATTTGACTAAAGAGCTAGAACGTCTGAAAGATTTATTTTCCCTTTATAGTAGGTTTTGGAGACAGAACATACATATGAAAGATTTATTCCTGAAAAATAATTAACTTTTGGACCTGATGGATAATAATATCTTTTAGATCGTAGATATAAAGACCAAGATAATGTGGCCTTCTGTTTGGTCGTAGTCTTTTTTATCCTTATAGTGTTGGTTCGACCTTGTTTTTTGCGACTTGGCCGGAGCGTCAGAAAGACCTTGTAGAACGTACCTAGTCCCGTGACAAGTGACTTATCACTGACGATGCCGACGTAACTTTTGGGAATGTACCCAGCCAATGGTCCAATACTGGAAATCACGAGTACTATAGCAAAGGACACAGGACTAGGTATGTTCCATAAAATCTCCCTGACGCTTCGATCTAGTTGCGAAAACAAGTTCTAACCAACACAATAATATCTTCTAATAAGGAATAAATTTTCAGACGTTTACTATTTAGTCAGAAATAAACATGCTGAGACCTTTTCTTACATCCTAATATTACCATCATACCTTATTTATAAAAAGATAGGCGAACTAATGAGGAAGGGGGGAGGGATAAAAACGGCGTTCAAAATAGCCTTTATTTTCTACAATCTTTTAGAGAGATATATGACCCACTATCGAGATCTGGCTGCTACAAGATCGTACACTCCTGCAGTCAATCTGATGCTGGTGAGATATGTCGGCCTATTCGCCAGAGATTAGGAGGACACCAAAATATCTGTAAAAGCAGCTGGATTCAACGGTCAAAAGTGGGCGAACACATGACAGAGATTGGGTATGAGATAGAATGGTCTCAAACTCTTAAGCTTGCATATTATTGTACGACATCTGCTAAAAGAAAGA